TAAGAGGACACGAAGTATTTATATGATTAAGGAATGGGCGGAAAGGATAATATTAAAAAATGACGCCCTAACAATTACACGCCCTAACAATTAGTACACATAAACAATTAAAATGAAGCTAGTTATTATGTAAAATGTCGTAACGTCCGGGCTAATGTAAGCACAACAATTTAAATCCTCATATTTCGAGCAAAAAAACGTACTTTTGTTAATATACTTAGTCTGGTAATAAATATTTTTAAATAAATTTGTAAGTGTGGAAATTTAGTTCCTATGTACTTTTAAATCAAGATTTTTGTACTTTTGTCGATGTCATATTGTCGATGAGAACCGTGAATTAAAATGAAGCTAGTTATTATTAAATGCCGTTATCCGGGTGTTCTAACTGTTGGTTATTCCGGTTAGTAAAATAACACCTAAAGATAGCATTATAGTGAGATTTTCGTACCTAGCAGGGCTGGACGATTTCGCATTTTCGCATTTCGCATCTTTCGCATTTTTCACATTTTTTGGCGCGAAAAGTTTCGCATTCCGCATTTCGCTTTTTATTTTTTGATTTCGCCCAGCCCTGGTACCTAGTACATTGACATTAATGTTTTTTAAGAAAAGGGGAAGGAATATTTATAGTTTCTCTCACTTTTACCTCCGCTGATACGGTAGTTGATTGGTTAAGCTGACTTGCTCGCTCACCTACATATTTTCATAGGGACGGGTTCGATTCCAGGGTGAAAATGATATTTCAAAAATTTTTTCTTTTCAGAAATGTTCTTAAATTTTGATTTTAATTTTAAAGTTGTATATTTATTTTTTTAATGTTTTAAACTTGAAAAAGTTTAAAATTTTAATCTATTAATTTTCTTTTAATAAATAACCGGCTTTGTGCCACTCTAATTTTTACAGTAATTTTTTGACTTTGGTCATTATTTCTTTTATTTTTCATTTTTTTATAAATTTTCTCAACAAACTTTCTTCGGATCGGGTTTCCAAGCCACTTAGGGATAGATTAAAAATTGACAAATTTTTATCAGGTAAACCACAGAAAACTTTTCAATAACAAAATAAACTGCAGAGTGTACAGCAGGGATGGGACGGGTTGAAAAAAAAGTCGAGTCGGATTTTCAAAATCTTCTTCGGACCGAGTTTCGCGTTGAGAAAAATGTCCGGGTCTCGAGTCGGGTCAGTTAAAAATTTGACCTAGTAGCCAGATTTTTCGGGGCGGTTTGGAGTTTAAGAGGGATATAGAAAACTAACTCAAGGGAAAGAGATTAAAAGGAATTAATTTAAATTTTTACTGATCCAGTATACATTTTTTCACTTGGAAAAGAAGAGAAATAATAATGATAAAGTAAAGACATTTAGGTATTTTACAAATAATTTTTGATTCGATATCAAGTATCTGATCATCGATACACATCAAATAAAAAAAACCACCTATAAGTTGCCTAGTTTTAAAATACAAATTTTTGTATTCTACCCGTAACTCTTGACAACCTCTAACTCTTTCCCTGAATATGAATTTTGCCAGAAAACAGGCAACTCTCTTAGTATCATAAAGAAAATTTTATAATTATTTAATAATTTTAACTCAAGGGGGACTCATTCGATAGAGAATCATTCGTCAGATGGATAGAGCGAACTGGACATTTACCCTCGTAACCCGCCCCATCCCTGGTGTGCAGTTTCGCCTTTCGCCAAATCTTCGCCTTCTTGATGATTTATCTTTCGTATTTCGCTTTTTCAGACCCCTGATACACAACATATTTACTTCATCCAATTTGGGCAGGTCCATACATAGTTGAAACTTGATTTTGATTTGTTTTTAATAAGCCAAAAAATTTTCCAAGTAGAATTTTTGTGTCAGTCCGAACAGTTTTGTTTAATGTTAAGTAAATTACTGGTGGGAAACCTACAAAAAATTTTTAAAAAATATTTAGATTTGTTTTTAATCCAGCAGGTAGAAAAAGGGATAGAAAATGGGGGCAAGAAGTGTCATACAGGAGAGAACCCCGAAGATGAGGTAAAAGGGTCACTGTGTTTTTTAATAACAAAATTTATTTTTGATTAACATACCATGAATATGTAACCTTAAAAATTAAACAGAAATTATATAAAATTAAATGTTAGAATTTACCAAGAAAAATGGGCAATCATTAATGGCAAAATTCCATTATCGGGATTATTAATATTGTAAGCATAAGTAATACCTTCTAATGTATTTATCATTGAAATTAGGGTTGCCGTTTTCGAGTCGGGCCGACGGTCGAGGCATTTTTTTTCGGGCTTGTTTTTATCGAGTCGGGCCGGTACGAGTCTTTTTCGGGCCTTACTTTGTCGAGTCGGGCCGATACGAGTCTTTTTCGGGCCTAACTTTATCGAGTCGGGCCGGAACGAGTCACTTTCGGGCCTGACTTTATCGAGTCGGGCATCGAGACATTTTCGAGTCTTTTTTTAAAAGATTTATTTAAAAATAATTAGTGGATTTGGAGGGATATCTGTGAATTAAAAGGTATATCGATGGATCTGGAAGGTAAAGGAAGGGCTGAAGAGAATTGAAATGGATATCAGTGGATTTGAGGGATTAAGATGATTTAAATTATCGGAGGATTGGTGTGAGATATTGCTAGATTTGGTTTTATTAAAGGAGATAAACCTTAATAAAATCCCAGTGTACCATGATCGAACTATTCGTATTTAGATAAGGGCTTACTGGAAAGTCAGGAAACCAGATTTCTTCTATTTTTAGCGCCGCAGGCGAAAACTTTGAGAATTTTGGACCCCCTGGATACGCCCTTGACTTAATCACTCAAACCGCCTTATATTCCCAGATTACACCTTATATCCCGGATGGAGGACTGCGGATTGCGTAAGATTGTGTGTTTTTGACTTGTGGACTGAAGATTACGACTGCGTATTTTAAAGTTAAAATTGCGGACTGCGGAAAATTGTGGACTCTCAAAACTGATTGAGTTTCGAAAGTTCAAATGATGATGGGATCCCGCGGAATATATCCTATAAATCCCAGTAATCCAATTAAAGCCAGTAAGTTCGAGATGTGAAGCAAAGTATGGAGCTAAAAATCCTTCATTTCAGCGCCGCAGGCAAAAATTTTGAGATATTCGGAAGGCTAAGGACCAAATTTCTTCTTTTTTCAGCGCCGCAGGCGAAAATTTTTCGAATTTTGGAAGGCCAAGGAGCCAGATTTCTCCCATTTTTGTCCACAAATCAGGTAAAAATATTATCGAGTCTTGTTCGAGTCGGGCCGACTTTTTCCGAGACAATTTTTTTCGGGCCTGTTTTTATCGAGTCGGGCCGGTACGAGTCACTTTCGGGCCTAACTTTATCGAGTCGGGCCGTTACGAGTCTTTTTCGGGCCCAACTTTATCGAGTCGGGCCGGTACGAGACTTTTTCGGGCCAAACATCGAGGCATGACTCGATCTTTCGGTCCGAGTCGGTCCATTTTGGCAACCCTAATTGAAATGATAAATACTTGAATAAAGACCTTAAAATATTACAAATTTAATATATTATTCAACCAAAATTTTAGATAAAAACACCTCTATTTAATCTAACGTGCCTGTCGAATTATACCCCACCCTCGCTTACACCCTCTAGCACTCGCTTACCCCCTCTAGCACTCGCTTACCCCCTCTAGCAATATATATCTAATTTTTTGAGGAGGTATCAACCCGACAAGTAATGTCAATCAAGTTAGAGCGATTAGAATTAATTAAAATATATTCTGGGGATTAACAAGATCTAGAGGGCAAAGAAGGCTACCGGTGGAATAACAGAAACATCTAGCGCTAAAGGATTGGAGGAGGTTCAAATGATTTGAGCATAACTTTTGATATCTCTTCTCCTCTTATATAACATATTTCTTCACTGTTCAGCGCCGCAGGCGAAAATTTTGAGAATTTTGGGAGACAATAAGCCGGATTTCTTCGTTTTTCAGCATTTCGGACAGAATCCTGAAAAATCCTGTGCAGAGTCCTGTCCTGTGCCGATCTCTAATAAAAATACATAAATAAATCTTAAATTTAAAGGTGCTGTGTGATTTCGGCAGAAGTGACGTAGGCAGTAGTTATATGGGCAGTGAGTGATTTCGTCAGTGAGCTGAATTAGGCAGTGAGTGATTCGGGCAGTAAACGTTTTTAAAAAAAGTATTTTTTACATAAAAACAATTAGACTCACTGCCCAATTCATCTCACTGGCTAAATCACTTACTGCCCATTTAACCACTGCTTACGTCGAAATCACCAGACACGTTTATAATCTTCCTATTATTTAAAAGTGAGGTATAATAAAATTTTAACCAATTTCTCATCTTTCGAAACACTGTCAATTAATTCACGGGCTTTGAAAAAAATCGTCAGAGAGAAAATCAAATAAACTATAGGGGAACCAACAGCCAATATTGTGTTGTGTATAGTAATTTCTCTCAACTCCTCTTTGAACTAAATATATAATTTTTAAATTAGTAAAATCAACTAATAGTAGATTACTAATTCCATTCTAAAATCTCTATATCCAGTTAATGGTTCAAAGGAAAATCCAAAATTTATTCCATTAAAAATAGCAGGATGTCGAAATAAAAGCCAATAAAGTCCATAAAAATTATTAAAAATAATCCAAATATAGACACGATTATTGTGAAAAAGTTTTTTTGAAATTTTTGGAAATGCCATTTCGATACAACGATTTATTCCCAAAATCTAGAAAAATATTAATTTTAGTAATTTTTAATTTATTTATCAGACCAAATCAGCAGAACATTCAGCGGTATATATATCTAAATATTATTAATTAATTACATATCAAGGCCAGAATTCTTGTGCATTATTAACTATCTGAATTGTCTATAGAATATGTGCTCTGCTATCTAAAAACCATCATATTGCAACCAGTGATGGGAAAGTTCTAGTTCCGGAACTGGAACCGGTATAGGTCTGGAACCGGTTTGGAACAGGAACCGGTTTAGAACCGGTTCCGGAACCGGTTCCAAAGATACACCCCTAAGATGGGTGAAAAAGGAGAAGTGAGCAAAAAGATGGGTTAGTGAGAAGAAAAGGTAGATAAATTGAGGAGGGTGAAAAAGCTTTTCCTAACTCTTCGTTCAAAGTGTATGTGGTTGACTGGATAATGTGTTGGGTTCGTAGTTTTGAGGATTGTCTGAGTATTAAGTTCAGGGTGGCCCTTTTACCATATTTCTAGAGGATTTTCCCTATTTTTGACCTTTTCGCATTATTTTTTCCCTATTTAGTGTTTTGGAAGGGGCCACCCTGATTGCAACACTTACATATGTTAACACAACCAACAAAGTAAGAGAATATTGGTGAAGAACAATAAACAACCCCGTTTAAGCTAAAAACTCCAAATGCAAAAGTTGGTATCCAAAGTATACAAATATCCAAAATTGAGAGATAAATTAACAGTAAATAGCAAGGATTTTTGTTTCTATTTTTCCAAAAAGAGTAGAGACAAGGGAAATATAGAGGCTTAAATTTAAATTTTAGAAAAAAAATTTCAAGAAATTTAGTACATAATATATAAATCCAAGTATTATACAAATAATTGCAGCTATTGGATATCTTCTTTTTTCGATAGGAACATCATCTACATTAATTCCTGTACAATTATAGACTATATCAAATTCTTTTCGATTCCACATAATATATTCCATCAAAATTTTTTTTGGAAATGCTAGTAAATTGAAATACTATAAGATAAACATTCGGGAGGGAAAAAGCAGCGCCCTCTTTTTATAATTTTTGCCAAAAACCCGACTCCGATTCGGGGTTTTGCGTCGGGGATCGGGATTTGTCGAGGTAGAGCTTCGGGGTCCGGGTCGGGGTTTTTGGCAAAAAATTCTTTGGGTTTTCGGGGTTCGGGTTGCTACCCTACTATTAATAAATATAATCTCAAGGCTAGAATTCATGGTCTTTATTGACTGTGTCTTAATTGTCTATACTAGAATATTGTCTTACAATTAGTCTTAGTCTTCACAAAATTAAATCTTTTTTGGGAAGACGAAGAAAATCATTTTATATTTTTAAATAGTCGTCGTGCACACAAATAAACAAAATGAAGCTGGTTATTATTTATTTATTTATTTATTTATTTATTTATTTGCCTCTTGGGCGACATTACAAATTTGAAAATACATATATGGATTGAAAAAATAAATTAAGTCAAGTTGAAAATTAAACTAAAACAAATATATGTCAATAATTGGTACAACAAATATATGTGATTGTATTATGTTACGGGTGTGGGGCGTGATAAATATGTGTTGAGATCTATTTGATCAAGAAGTGTTTTGAATATTTTGGAATTTGATTTACGTATTGATATTGGTAACTGAGAGTATAGCCGCGCTGTCCTAACAAAAAAGGAATTATGGCTGATTTGATTTGATCTTGCCGGAATAAAAAATTTATATTCGTCTCCCCTTGTATTAGTTTTTGTAATTTTAAATGTTTCTTTTTGATCGATTTTTACTTCACCATGTAAAATTTTGTGGAAAAATTTAAAGTCAGTTTTGAGTCTTCTAATTTGTAGCGAGTCTACCTTAAAAATTTGTAGAAGGTCTTGATATTCTGGAATTGGTGTGCGTGGATTTGACCTATTGTATATAATACGTAAATAAGTTTTTTGTATTTGTTCAAGGTGTTCGATATCCTTTTTAAGATATGGATTGAAAACGGGCGATGCAAATTCTATTATGGGTAATACGTATATTTTATATAGTTCGAGTAATATTTTAGGATCATTAGTTTTTAGATTTCTTATTATTGTAAATGCTGTTTGATTTGCTTTGTTAGTTATAATTTTGATGTGCTTTTCCCATTTTAAATCGTGTGAAAAATAAACGCCAAGGTCTCTTATAGAATCTTGATTTGAGACTGTTTTTATCTTTTGATTATTGAGTGTGTATGTGTGCAAAGGGTTTTTAGGCCCTATGTGTAAAAGAGATGTTTTTTCGGCTGAAAGTTTGAGTGAATTTTCCTCAGCATATTTTTCTAGTTTTTTGATAAACTCTTGTAGGTTAATTTCAAAGTCTTTAGTGTTTTTAGAGAATGAGTATGCTTTAAGATCGTCTGCAAACAATTTTATCTTTACGTCCTTTGTTTCACAGAAACTGGGTAGATCTGATATGTATATAAGGAAATTATGTAATTATTAAAAAATGCCGTAACGCTCGGATTAATGTAAAAGACATTTTAATGTCTTAAAAAATGTACTTGTTAATATGCTTAGACTGGTAATTGTAAATATTTTTAAGTGTGGGAGAAGGAGCTTTTAATTAAAATATTGTGGGAATTTTTTGGGTAATTTTTCAGTAATTTTAAGGTTGCCGCAGAAACTTTAGAAGTTTTGACTTTATGGCTATCTAAATTTTTAAAAAAATTGCGTCGGCGGCTCTGACAAATAAATTTTTTCTCATAAGGCCTACAAAATTCTCAAAATTTTCGCCTCCGGTGGTGAAAAAAAAGAAAAATTAGATTATGTGAAAAAATTACGCATGTACGAGGGACGAGGCATTGTTGAACAGTCCAAACACTGTTTAACAGTCCAGGGTTATGATTTTGAACTACAAACAGTCGAAGACGATGGAACTGCCAATATTGGTGTGATAAGGAGATTTAATTTGATTTTTTAACATTTTTTATCTATTTTTATTAAATAAAGCTTCGAAAAACCGGACGGTAAACCGTGTATTTTCTATTAACCGGTTACGCTATTCAGGTTTTATAAAATCACGATTAAACGTCAATCGAGGGATCAGTTGACTACTCTAATTTTTAAAGTAATTTTTTGACTTTGCTCATTATTACTTATATTTTTTAAAATTTTCTCAACAAACTTTAAAAAAATTAAATTTACTTCAAAATTTTTTTCCATTAAGATTATTAAAATTAGATTTATAGCCTGGACAAGACCAAGGCACTTAGGGATAGATTAAAAAAAAGACAGATTTTTATCAAGTATTTTAGGTATTTTATTTTTAAAGCTTTCTAGAGCTTTTTATTCAAAAAAATCAGGAAATAATTTACAAAATGAATAAAATATTTTATTAATCATACATACTTAAAAGCAGTTAGATATCGGTATATATTTTATTTTTACTTTTCAATAACAAAATACACAACAGAGTGTGCAGCATGGATGGGACGAGTTGAGAAAAAAGTCGGATTTCGGGTCGGGTTTTCAAACTTTTCTTCGGGTCGAAACATGTCCGGGTTTCAAGTATCGGTTTTATGGTAACCGGTAAATGTTCAGTTCGCTATCCAGTTTCCTTCCCTCTTTACATTTTTTGTGTACTAGCCCATGTTTCCAACTTACTGATTCAGTATACATTTTTTCACCTGGAAAAGAGTAGAAATAATAATGATAAAATAAAGACATTTAGGTATTTTACAAATAATTTTTGATTCGAAATCAAGTATCTAATCATCGAAAATTTGGATATTAATTTTTTATTCAGAGAAAAACAAACACGTTAATTAAATAGAAAAAACCGGTAACCACCTATAAGTTGCCTAGTTTTAAAATACAAATTTTTATATTTTACCCATAACCCTTGACAACCTCTAACTCTTTCCCTGATTATAAAATTTGCTAGAAAAAAGGGGCAACTCTGTTATTAATAATTTTAACTCGAGGGAGACTCATTATTTGTGAATAACCTAAGTAAAAAATGGGAAGGAAAAGTAAAATAAACATATCTCGGTTAAATTCAATTTCGTACCCCCCCTCCTTTTTCCTTCCTCAAAGTATTACAAAATGGTCAGTCAGGTTTATGTTTTAGAACTCGTCGAGCTGTGTCGAATGACACCAAAATCGAAAAAATCGGACTTGATTTGACCAAGATACAGACCCCTGAAAATTGAACACCCATAGGAGCGATTTTTTGGAATAGAAAAAACCCAAATGATAGCTCATTCGAAAGAGCTCGTCGAGCTGAGTCGAATGACACCAAAATCAGCGTGATTAGACATGGTTTGGCAAAGTTATGACATTATGTAGACCTAACGGAGTCGACGACTTATGTCATAACTCTGTCAAATCTTGTCCAATCACGTTGATTTTGGTCTCATTCTACACAGCTCGACGAGCTCTTTCGAATGAGGTATCATTTGTATGAATTTTGGTCCCAATGGTTTTTCGCTCTTATGGGTGTTCAATTTTCAGGGGTCTGTATCTTGGTCAAATCAAGTCTGATTTTTTCGATTTTGGTGTCATTCGACACAGCTCGACGAGTTCTAAAACATAAACCTTACTGACCATTTTGTAATACTTTGAGGAAGGAAAAAGGAGGGGGGGGTACGAAATTGAATTTTACCCATATCTCTTATATCCTCTCAATAGTATTAACACCCACTATGCAACATTAATCATCCATTGATATCCCTATTTATTGCTGCAAATCCCTCGTTATCTCTTTAAATTCACCATAATCCTAGTAAACTACAACTCCACAGAACTACAACTCCATAGATTCTTCAATTTTCAGCGCCGCAGGCGAAAATTTTGAGGATTTTGGAAGATCCTTAAGCCAAAAATCTTCGCTTTTCAGCGCCGCAGGTGAAAATTTTGGGAATTTTAGAAGACCAAGAGGCCAGATTTCTTCATTTTTTCTAAATGAAAATATAATTTTGTCAAAAAAATTCATTATTAGGGGTGTAAAAATTTCCCGACTTAGTCGGGAATTGACACCGGGAGTCGGGATCGGGATCGGGAGGCCAAAAACTCGGGAAATTTTCCCGAGTCGGGAGTCGGGATACCCGAGCATCACTAGTCCATACTTGCAAAAAAATATAAATGAAAATAAATAACCCATCAAAGGGTTGGATGGTGGCACAGTAGGTTGTGCTTCGGGTTGGACTCATTCCGTGATGGTTCAATTCCATCTCCCATCCAATGAATTTTCCCACAGCATGAACCTTGGACATGACATTTCTCAATTTTATACATATTAACCTCCATATTTCGACACTTACATAAACAAACACATCCACCAAAGTAGGTGAATATTGGTGAAGAACAGTAGACAACCCCGTTTAAACTAAGAATTCCGAATGCAAATGTTGGTACCCAAAGTATACAAATATCCAAAATTGAGAGATAAATTAACAATAAATAGCAAGGATTTTTGTTTCTATTTTTCCAAAAAGAGTAGAGACAAGGGAAATATAGAGGCTTAAATTTAAATTTCAAAAAAATTTTTTTCAAGAAATTTAGTACATAATATATAAATCCAAGTATTATACAAATAATTGCAGCTATTGGATATCTTCTTTTTTCAATAGGAACATCATCTACATTAATTCCTGTACAATTATAGACTATATCGAATTCTTTACGATTCCACAAAATATATTCCATTATTCAAATTTTTTTGGAACTGCTACTAAAAATCAAAAATTAAAATTTCAGCAAGGTTGGAAGAAATTTTTCGATTTATAGTGCATTAATCAACCAAAGCGACAATTCCAGCGTTCAAGACGATATTTTGCACTTAAAAGTGAAAAAAATGTTGAAAAATGTTCAAATTTTAGCACCGCAGACGCTAAAATGTGAATATTTTGAAACCCCAAGAAATAAGCTAGTTATTATGTAATTATTAAAAAAATGCCGTGACGCTCGGACTAATGTAAAAAACATTTTAATGTCTCATATTTCGAGCAAAAAAATGTACAATGTTAATATGCTTAGACTGGTAATTGTAAATATTTTTAAATAAATTTGAAAGTGTGTGGGAGAATGAGCTTTTATTTAAAATATTGTGGGAATTTTTACTAGGGTAACACAAAACCGCTTACGGTTGCCGCAGAAACTTTAAGAGTTCTGGCTTCATGACCATCTAAACTTTAAGAAAAATTTGCGTCGGCGGCTCTGACAAACAAATTTTTTCTCATAGGGCCTACAAAATTCTCAAAATTTCCGCCTCTGCCGGTGAAAAAAGGAAAAATTAGAGTCCAAACACTTTATCAGTCCTTCAACAATTGAGGGTGATGATTCTGAACTACAAACAGTCGAAGACGATGGAACTGCCAATATTGGTGTGATAAGCAGATTTAATTTGATTTTTTAACATTTTTTATTAATTTTTATTAAATAAAGCTTTTCGGAAAACCGGACGGTAATGCGTGTATTTTCTATTAACCGGTTACGGTATTTGGGGTTTATAAAAACACGATTAAACGTTAACCTGAGGGACCGGTTAATGACCAGCTTTGTGCTACTCTAATTTTTACAGTAATTTTGGAATTTACTCATTATTTCTTTTATTTTTCACTTATCTTTTGCTTAATTTTCTCAACAAACTTTAATAAAATTAAATTTACTTCAAAACTTTTTTTCCATTTTCTTTATGATACTAAGAGAGTTGCCTGTTTTCTGGCAAAATTCATAATCATAAAAAGAGTTAAAGGTTGTCAAGAGTTACGGGCAGAATACAAAAATTTGTAATTAAAAACTAGGCAACTTATAGATGGTTATAACTAGAGCCCGGATTTTTATGCATTAAAAAATGCAAAATATGCACTATAATATGCATAAAAAATTGCCAAAATATGCACGAAAATATGCAAGTAAACCAAAATATACACGCATATATGCATGAAAAATACCATTTATACCTAAAAATTTTACATATTTTTAGTCAAAATGATTTAAAAACCCATTTTTTATTAAGATTTCTCCTATTTTAAATGTATAGTTCGACAAATTGAGCATTTTTACGCTGTTGGGCATTTTGAGATGAGGTATTTTGGTGGTGGGACATTTTGGGGTGCGACATTTTGGGCTATTTAATTCCTAAGGATGAGCAGTAGGCGGCGTGGTGTAATAGCTAACACATCGGTCAGGTCTACTGTCTAAGGATGGCGGTTCCTTGAAAATCTCCGGATATCCGGAACCGGTATCCGAACCGAAATTTCCGGATATCCGAGGTTTTTTCGGTTCCGGATACCCGAAACCGCCAATCTTACTACTGAAGATGCTGGTTTGCTCCCAGCCGCCGATTAACCTTCTGTCCTAGCTAAAGGAGAGAAATAGCTATAGCCCAGCTGCTTTAATTAAACACTAAAATTGCAAATCTTTATTCAGATAACAAAATACACAACACAGAGTTTTGTTGTTTTGTCTTTCGCTTTTTAAAATCTGTTTCGGCACAACGTTGATACACAACATATTTACTTCATCCATTTTGGGCAGGCCCAACAATATTCGAAACTTGATTTTTCTTCAATAAACTAAGAAGTTTTCCAAGTAGAATTTTTGTGTCAGTCCGAACAGTTTTGTTTAATGTTAAGTAAATTACTGGTGGGAAACCTTTAACAATTTTAAAAATATTTAAATTTATTTTTTAATTAGGGCGACCCTTTCCAAATCACCAACAGGAGCATGTAGAAAAGAGGAGGAAATGGAGAGGATAAGAGAGAACCCCGCAGATTAAAGGGTCACTTTGTTTTTATTAACAAAATTAATTTTTGATTAACATACCATGAATATGTAACCTTAAAAATTAAACAAAAATTATATAAAAATAAAATAATTTAATTACCAAGTAAAATGGGCAATCATTAACGGCAAAATTCCAAGATTTGAATGATTCATATTATAAGCGTAGGAAATACCTGCTGATGTATTTAACATTGAAATAATAAATACTTGAAGAAAGACCTTAAAATATTACAAATTTAATATAATAGTACCTGAGGTGGGTCGGAATTCCGAGTTCCGAGTTCGGACTTTTGAGCCAGTTCCTATTTCCTCTTCCGATTTCCGACACCTCTGACAGTTCCGACCCACCTCTGACTATTACTGAACCCCAAACTTAGATAAAAACACTTATATCTAAAATACCATGCCTCCAGAGAATTATAACCCCTTCTCGATTATTTACCCCCTCTAGCATTAGCGTGAAACAATAATTACTAGTGAGCGAATCCAGACCGGACCTGGCCTAGGATATTCAGAACTCCGTACCTCACTTCCAAAACATTTCCGTAGAATAGAGTGGAATTTTGACAAAGTTTCGTTTTGGGATTTGGGTGGATTAAGAGGATCATCGGAGTATTTGGGTAAATTTCGAGGGATATGGAGGATTTGAGTGATGTTTTAATTCTCAGGAGCTCAGGAGCTAACTCCCGGAAAGCACTGGCACTGGGGACCTTCTTATATTTAAAATGGAGGTATAATAAAATTTTAACCATTTTCTCCTCCTTAGGAACACTGTCAATTAATTCACGGGTTTTGAAAAATACACAAAGTGAAAAAATCAAATAAATTATGGGGGAACCAACAGCTAATATTGTATTGTGTATGGTAAGTTCTCTCAAAGTTTCATTGAGCTGAAAATACGCAGATATATTTAAATTAGATTTTAAATTACTAATTCCATTCGGAAATCTCTATATCCAATTAAAGGTTCATAGGAAAATTCAAATGTTACTCCATTAAAAATACCAGAATGTCGGAATAAAAGCCAATAAAGTCCATATAAATTACTAAAAATAATCCAAATATAGACACGATTATTGTGAAAAAGTTTTTTTGAAATTGATGGAAATGCCAGTTCAATACATCGATTTATTCCCAAAATCTATGAAAATATATATAATATTAATTCTTATTTAATTTATGAGACCAAATCAGCACAACATTCAGCGGCCCATAAATCTAAATAATATTAATAAATATAATCTCAAGGTTAGAGCCGACCACTTGCCAAAATTCACGGAAATTAGGAACGTCGTATTTGTATAAAGGACGGTCCGGTTACACAAAACTCTATACCAGAACTTTTTCGACCCGTCCTTGGCGGTTACGGGTATTCGGAACCGAAAATACTACGGTTATTTGTAAACCTCTCTATATCCCCTTTTCAAACTCTTATTATCACCAAGACACTACAAAACAAAAATTCGAGCACTTACATAAAGCAACACAACCAATGAAGTAGGTATATACAGGTGAAGAACAATAAACAACCCCGTTTAAACTAAAAATTCCGAATGCAAAAGTTGGTACCCAGAGATATAAGATGTCCAAAATTGAGAGATGAATTAACAGTAAATAGCAAGGATTTTTGTTTCTATTTTTCCAAAAAGAGTAGATACAAGGGAAATATAAAGGCTTAAATTTAAATTTTTAGGAAAATTTTCAAGAAATTTAGTACATAATATATAAATCCAAGTATTATACAAATAATTGCAGCTATTGGATATCTTCTTTTTTCAATAGGAACATCATCTACATTAATTCCTGTACAATTATAGACTATATCAAATTCATGTCGATTCCACAAAATATATTCCATTTTTAAAATTTTTTTGGAAATTCTATTAAATCGAAGAATTTTTTTAGTCGAAACACACTATAAAATAAACATTCGGGATGAAAAAAGCACCCCCAGCCCTGATCCCTAGTACACAGAAAACATGGTAAACTTTAAATTGAGATCTAGATTTGGCGGATCGTATACTAGGATCCGAAAAAGCCAGGATATATAGAAATTTCGGCTCTATCTTAGGACATGCGTCCCATAAACTTTTATGCGTCCCATGAAAGTATATGCGGCCCATAAACAAAAACTGGGAAAAATTCAATTTAATAAATTAAATTTTTAGGAAAAATTCAATTTTTTGTTGATGGGACGCATATACTTTCATGAGACGCATAAAAGTTTATCGGAATAATGTCCTAAGATAGAGCCGAAATTTCTATATAACTTTTTTTTATTGACAACTTTCTTTCATTGAGGCCCGACTTAAATAAATTTTTACAATGAAATTAAGTGCAATTTAATAAATTAAATTTTTAATATTAAATTAAAATAAAAGAAAAAACTTTTTTTCATAATTAATAATTAAAAAAAAACTTTGTTTAAAAATTTTTTAAATTAATTTCTGTTTACAATTTAAATATTTAAAAAAATTTTCCGTTTTTTTTATATTTAATTGGCAGGTGTAAACTTTTGGCACACTTTAAACAATTATTTGAACAACACTTTTTGTCTGTTTAATATATAATTATTTTAGACTTTACAGGAAAATCTTGAAGGTTAAAGCTGAAAAATGCCGTGTGCCAAAAAAAGTGTGCCAAAAGTTTACACCTGCCAATTAAATATAAAAAAGTAAAAAAAATTTTAAATATTTAAATTGTAAACAGAAATTAATTTAAAAATTTTTAAACAAAGTTTTTTTTAAATTATTAATTATGAAAAAAATTTTTTTCTTTTATTTTAATTTAATATTAAAAATTTAATTATTAAAGTGCACATATGTTTACTGTAAAAATTTATTAAAGTCGGGCCTCATTATGGTTGGTGGGATCCAAAAGATATCCGGGCTTTTTCGGATCCTAATATTCAGATCCGCCAATTCTAGAACTCACTATAAGTTGCCTCCATTACTAGAAGCAGAGGTTGATCGGAATTCCGATCTTCGACGTTTTTTCCTTCCAATTTCCGAAAATTTGAGTTGATTTCCGATTTTCGAGTTTCACTTTTTGAGTCATTTCCGATTTACAATATTTACAATTTCCGACATTTCCGATTTCCAATTTCCAATTTCCGACATTTCCGATTTCCGGCACCTTCGATATTTCCGATAGACTTCTGACTAGAAGCAACTTAATTTAAAATACGTTCTTTAACACGTGCACAAATTGACGGAAGTCGTCGAAGTATCTAAAGAGTGTGCTGCTTTTTCCCATCCCGAATGTTTATCCCTTATTCGTTAGTGAGGGTCGATTAAAAATTTTCTTCAATTTAATAGTAACATTTTCAAAAAAATTTTATATAATGGAATATATTTTGTGGAATCGAGAAGAATTTGACATTATCTATAATTGTACAGGAATTATTGTAGATGATGTTCCTATTGAACAAAGAAGATATCCAATAGCTGCAATTATCTGTATAATACTTGGATTTATATATTATGTACTAAATTTCTTGAAAAATTTTTTTAAAAATTTAAATTTAAGCCTTTATATTTCCCTTGTCTCTACTCTTTTTGGAAAAATAGAAACAAAAATCCTTGCTATTTACTGCTAGTTTATCTTTCAATATTGGACATCATATATCTTTGGGTACCAACATTTGCAGTCGGAATTCTTAGTTTAAACGGGGTTGTCTATTGTTCTGCACCAATATCTACCTACTTTGTTGGATGTGCTGGTTTATGTAAGTGTTGAAATATGAGAGTTAATACATTAAGTAAATTAATTAACCAGACAAATACACTAAACATCAGAAAGTTCGGATATCCGGATCTGAAACCGATATATGTATTAGAGCAGTGAAGATTGTCTGTTGACATAGAGTTTCTCTGGAATAATCTTTGGGGGAGGCCGAAACGCAAATTTGGCCGGAACCGGATCTAATTTTTTGGTTCGGAACCCGAACTTCCGAAGCTATAGTGGAAATCAGGCAGGTTCAAAAATTTGGATTCCAAGAAGACAAATTTTTCACAGCAGTTGGGGGGTAACGTGATTTTTTTCGGCTCCCGGAGATTTGGGGAGTGGACATTTGGGGAGTGGACAATTGGGGAGTGGAAATTTGGGGAGTGAGCGGACATTTTGGGCGTGGACAATTGGGGAGTAGACATTTGGGGAGTGAGGATTAAAAAATAATTTGAAAATCGATTTTTTGGACAATAAAAATAATTTATACACTACTGAAGGTGATTTTGTCGAGTTATAAAGGGTAAAATTCAATTCCCCTACTTTTTCTTTGCTCAACGTATTAAAAAGTGGTCAGTCAATATTAGGTTATAGAACTCGTCGAGCTTTGTCGAATGTCAAAGCTCCCACTGTATCGTTTTTAGCGCCGCAGGCAAGAATTTTAAGAATATTTGAAGGAAAAGAAGCAAGATTTATTCCTTTTTTATCACCGCAAGCGAAAATTTTGAGAACTTTGGAGGCCAGGAAACCAGATTCTCTTTCTTTTACTGCGCCTCAGGCGAAAATTTTGAGAATTTTGAGAGGTTAGTTAAACGCCGTTTAGAGTGACCGTAACCGTTTATGCCGTTTAGCTAAGACTATACCGTTCCGTTTAATTTTACCAAAATACCATTTACCGTATACCGATTACGTTTAGCTAAACGGTTTTGTGCTACCCTAATTTTTAGTGAAATTCTGACCCCCGACCGAAAAGTCAATCCCGACTCCGAACATCCGACATGCCTTCCCCGGCAAACCCCGATCACCGACACACCAACCCCCGAAGGGAGGTTGCTATCCTACTTTTATGGTTGTACTCAACCGGCTACAGACATCACAATATCTTTAAAATCTTTGAAAGCCCACAAAAACACCTTCACGTGTGTATGTATAAATTATTTTTATTGTCCAGAAAATCGATTTTTAAATTATTTTTTAATCCTCACTCCCCAAATGTCTACTCCCTAATTGTCCACTCCCCAAATGTCCGCTCACTCCCCAAATTTCCACTCCCCAATTGTCCACTCCCCAAATGTCTACTCCCCAAATTTCCGGACATGTTTTTTTCTCAGTCTTCCATAAACAGTTTTAGATTTAGGAAGACTGAGATTAACAATAAGACAATATTCTATATGAAATTGAGACGCAGTAATAATGCCCAAGAATTCTGGCCTAGAGAATATATGTACACTCCGTTAAGAAAGTAA